ATATATCATTTAGAAACACTTGTTCTACTTGTGTTGTATCAATCAATGCGAAGACAACAAACAGCACTGATCTCTATATTGAACTGGGCTGCACATTGGCTAGTATTACTGTATTAACACCTGACGTCAAGCAGTTGTCATATTGTTGGTCCCTAAGTTTTCGAGAGTAAACGCGTTAATGGCAAGGGTATACAACTGTCAACTGAATGCTCTGTAATCATTTCACTCTTTCAGTTTTGGTGATCTCAATTTTTACCGTGTTTCTTATCGTTTAACTAAATACATTTTAATCTACTGACAATATTTACATATTTACATTTATTTTATTGTGGTCTGCTGTATTATTAACAATATAGTGATAACTTTCTGTATAAGCTTATATAAGTCTGTGGTAAAGAAAAAAGTGCATTATAAACACGATCCAAGTATTGATATTTGAAATAGCATAAAATTACTAACATTATATGTATTTTTTTAACTTTACTGTCACAAATTATAGGATAATTAATAGATACAATGTATTTATGCTTTATACATTCGAAAGTTTAAAAATCAGCACTCTAAACACTTTGGATGTTGTTTTTATGCTCATTTTTTACGTAACACATAATTAAATACCTTGTCAAATTTTACAGATAGTTACCTTCTGGTATGCAATCAAACATGTGTCCATTTAAATCAGAGAAAACAATTTCTTTCAAAACAGCGATTTGTATTCCAAGGCTAATTGTGTTTGGAAGTTCACCATTTCTTGACTCCTGGAGTCTCTTAAAACAATTTTCTGTTGCCTGATGTACTTTAATAAACCTTTGCTGATGCCATTACCAAACCACCACTTCTTCAGTTGCTGTAAAAATTAACACAAGTTTCTAGAATTTTCATCTGTCAAGACCTTCAAACAATTTGTAAAATGTTCTCTTTGTATGTGTGTATGCCATTTTGACCACATAACCAACCATATATACTAATTTGGTCATTAGAGGAAGAAATGGCCTTAAATTTGGTGAATCTTCATCATCCTATATAGGCTCACGCATTTCAAGATCATACCTACAGGGCTGTACGAGGGATAATGCACCCGCATAGAACGCTGATCTAAAAGAAGGGAATTTGCATCTTTGAAGGCGAGGATGCTTTAGATTTTTTTTTAGAAATGGCGTATGGTTTATATCTCGCACAGGGCACCATCAGCGAACGGTACGGCCCTGTATACCTGTATATAATACATGTGTCTAACACATCTGCAGAAACACTAGGAAGTGTCATGTGATCTTTTGTGGCATAACCAATTTTTTATATGTAGGCTACGAACTGTTGAAGAGAAGACCTAAGCAAGAAACGAAAAGAGTTCCAAGTAATCCTGGCTTGGTTTATATACTAAAAGATATTTCAAAGTGGATGAAGATGATGACCCTAAAGTTTTATATGATTGCTGCACAGAGTTGGTCGCAGTTAGAAACCTAATAAATGGTGTCGAGTTGCATATACTCTTCGCCCGGTGATGTCTGTGAACTGAAAAATATAATTTTCTGTGTTTACTAGAAAATAAATCATTGAAAATTCTCATTAACTCTTTTTAATTTTTAGCTAATAGATTTCTATAGTTGAACAAATCAAAGAGTCTATCAATGTTCTTGTAAATTTAGCTATAGGTTCACTTCTTTTAAACTTGCGTAAGTTCGAGTCTTTGTTGCAAAATTCTATGGCATTTGTCATACTTGAACTTAAAGTTTGTATCGTAAAGTTAACTTTCATTTTATATTTCTGCCACTACATGTGCATTGATCTTTATTTCTTAGATGTAAGTCTTCTTGTTCTAGCAAATCAGTAAAGAACTACCATTTAATATATTCATCATTTTCACTTTCTAATATATTTTCATGTGTAAAAGTGTTTAGAATGAGCTTGAGCATGTGCCATATATATCAAGTATGACATAAAGTTTGATTTTTAATTGCTAGGGTGAAAAACCATGGCTGTACGTTTTCTGGCGACATATTGGCACCCAGTTCTTTTCATCTTGAAAAAGTATCAACTTAAAAACATCACAAACAAGTGCCACGGTTGTAATCTCAACATATAACAGTTTTTGTAAGGCATATTCTCCCAAAGTTTGGTGGTTTTTGTCCAATCATGCATTAATGAAGAAATAACCAATAGTCACCTTCCAGTTGCTGTTTAAAGAAACAAGCATAAACAACAAATACATTGCTGGTACGTGGAGTTGCATCTAGCATTAAAGCTCAATTGACTTTACTGGTTACACCTTTTCCCTTTTTTACCACTTGTTGTAATGCCTTAAATGCATCTTGTGTAAAGCCTGGTGCCCCGTTAATGTTTGATGCCAATTTCAAATGGCAGGTTAATGTGACAGGGCAGGGTTGAAAGCATGCCTTACAAAATTATAGGCTTCGATGGACTAAAATTGCATTATCAAGACAAAAGGTCGTGATAATGGAAGACATGCTTTGCGAATCAATTTCTTTTTGTTATTAATAAGCAACGTCATTTTTAAATATTTCTAAAGGGATATCAGAAGAGTGCTGTTCAGCATATCAAAATCATTGGTGAATATTAAAACTTCTATTTTCATAACTTGTGCTATCATCCTCAATTAAATAATTCATCTCAAACTCTTGTTCCTTTTCTGTGAAACCTGCTTTACTGGAGGAGGTGAGTATAGATTCTTATCACAAGTGCTCTTTTCTCACAGTTAATTCTTACCCATCGAGTCCGATGGTGGAGGAGATGTGCATACAATGTATGGTCTGAACAAGCCTCAACCTCACTGCACATATTGGCTGTCCAACATCTTGTGTGCAAGAATTCAGACGGTCATGTACCGATTCCGCCCGTCTAAGCGATACAAACCTACCTTATTTGCCTCTCTCTCTCTTTATTCTATGCGGGCGAAGAGTATATCCTAGATGAGACGAGATGCGGTCTCCCATGAGTGTATCCCTATAGAGCCTCTGTCATCATGTATTACACCCCATGGACTTCCTGCTTTCTCCACCATTTAAACGTCTGATTCTAGCTAAATCTCAAACATATCCTACTCGTGCAAGAGGCACGCATAGATTGACAGTGGAGTAGAAATGTATCCATACTGTAACAACATAATACGGTACCCTCCTTTTGCAGCTTTCTGAAGGATTATCTTCTAGGTAAATTTTGCACCAGTCCTACCGCCATATGAATGTGTGATTCTTTCTAATCTGTGTGAAGTCGTAAGTTATTGTATCGGAAGTTAACATTTTATTTACCTGAAAATGTACTTCCGATAGATCCTCACCTTCTCACACAGTCCCTACTTCCAGTACATATTTTCTTAGTTGCCTCGTCAAAGAATGAATATTCACAAATGCATATGCATCGGGGGAGATAGTGTGCATGGAGGTGTGTCGCCTTCCTATTTATGAAGAGCTTTTGTCACATGATGCGTCATCATATTGTGGAATAATTCTCATAAAATCACATGAAGTTAGGTGAGAGTTGCCTCAAGGCTAGTGGCATGCAAATTTCTTTGGCAGACTCGCTGGGAAAGAATGTGCACAAGACCACTTGAGGTTTCCTCATGGTATATATATATTTCTTGTTCGTTCCAGAGCCTACCTATTCCATGGACTATCGTGGAAAAAGCCAGCACCAGAGCAGTGTTTTTTGCCCACTTCTCTGGTTCGCACTTGCTGGCAAATGAAAATAGAGTTTTGCGATCACCCATTGCACTATCTCCAGTAAAAAATCTTTCCAGACTGAAGAACCGATGGGGATCTGAGTACATTCTTCGGGTCTCATCTATATGACTTCTCCCATTGTTAACTTTCTATAAGTGCATAATCGGAATTTAATATTTCTGCTTTATACTATTTTCTAGCTTTGAGAACTTCATCTGGTACTATGAAATGTGTATGTACACTAGGAAAACTGTGAGTTGTTTTAGTATCGCTTCAAATAGAAAGGCCAGATGAAACTATAAGTACCTTACAAGGAAACTAATGAAATATATTTAATGTGACTCGTATAATCTACAGATATTAGATTTAATTTACTTTCACTAATTTTGATACTTCAAAATGGGCATTGAAAGCCTGGTGTCTTATTCAATAAATAAATGTCGATTTTTTTAATTTACAAAAAGCCTATGACATAATTATTTCGACCTTTCTGATCAAGTGAATTTTTAAGCAGCGCTACTTGTAACTTGAATATAAAAGCTTTAAAATGTTGTTCCTATTATAGTCCTCTTTTCAGTGTCAATATCAATTATTTTCACCATAAATTTCCAAAGATCCTGGTATCTTATAAATCATAAAGATATACATTTATGAGAAAAAAAAACATGTCTTCAGTTTTATTTTACCATAGTAACATAATTCAAACAACTTGAGATCAACAGCCTAATACTCTTTGTTTGTTTGTTTTGAATTTCGCGCAAAGCTACACGAGGGCTATCTGCGCTAGCTGTCCCTAAGTTAGCAGTGAAATACTAGAGGGAAGGCAGCTAGTCATCACCATCCACCGCCACCTCTTGGGTTACTCTTTTACCAACGAATAGTGAGAATGACGGTCACATCATAACGACCCCACGGCTGAAAGGGCGAGCATGTTTGGTGGGACGGGGATTCGAACCCGCGAACCTCAGGTTGCGAGTCAAGTGCCCTAACTATAAATACAAATTAGAGTAAGTAAGTGCAATGATTATACTTTTCGTGATTGGTTTGTTTCTGCTTTTACCTCAATAAAACTGCGACCTTCAAATGACAAGTAATTCTGATATGATTCTTAACTGAATGTGATTGTCTTTTTAATTACTGTTAGCATTTAATTAATTTACCTGTATTTTCTCAGTGAAATTTAAACTTCATAATAATAATATGATAATAATAATTTGTTTCCTTAAAAAAGACTCGGTCTACTCATTTTGGTTTTGTTTTTAGATATTTTGTTTCTTACCGCAAATAAACAATTTTCACCCTCTTTACAGAGGACGCTGCATTTTGTTCGTAAAAATGGAGATATCGAGTGATTTGGTAGCTGTTGGGCTAATTGGTAAGTTGTATATATGATGCGGCATTTGAAGCCAGTTCAATTGAAACTGTTATAAATAAATTAGAAGTTCAATTACAATGCTTGATTCTTTGGCAGTCCAATAGTAATATGATATCAAACGACTAAGTTAATGTTCAGTCTACTTGTTGTCCTAGTATGTATTATTTAAATCTTGATTTGGGGGATGCATTTTTTTAAATGAAAGGTATTTCAGTGTATTCCTATAATTTTCTTTCCTTTAGAAAGAGATACAAACAATGATATTCTATGGACATGGTCCTACCCATCCATAGCTTATGAAAAGAGAAATTTACTGATCCAGAAATGTGGTTTAGAGTGTGAACCAGGATCTGGTGGACCTATCCCCCCAGTAACTTTTCGGTACTGTCATCATCATCGAGCTTGGTACTACATTTACACAACCGAAGTTTTCGATGCTGACAAACTTCCAAAGGTATGATATTGTGATTTTGTTCAATTTTCTTTAAAAGTTTCTGTCTAGGGGATGTATTTGAATTGGCATTTTTTTAATGAACCATATATTTAATATTAAGTAAATTCACATCATAATGATCTTTAAATGCTTCTGTCTATTTGTTTAGTTTAATCAATTATCAGTTTTGCATGGAAACCTACAAGAGTAAAATATAATAATTAACTTATCAAAACAAGACACAATCTGTGATATATTTCTCCAAGAATACATATATTGGAAAGTGTTTTCTTGTATCTACGTATTAAAGAACTGACTAACTTAGTAATGTTTCAAATATCACATATTATTAATACAATCAATTGATGACTCCAACATTTATAAAAATGGACAATAATTTACTGTATAAAGTTAAAAGAAACATAAAATTCAAAAACTTAATCTGTACATGTTTCATTGGAAGATGCTCCACATTCTTCAGAAGACAAGAAAACACAAGAATTTTCCTTTATATACTCAAGTAAATGTACATGTACAGTTTGCATATTGTATAGTGATGCCATTTACAAAACTGATTTCCAGAATTTTACATATTACTCTTAAAATTATCAGAGCTCAGGAAATTGTGTTTTCTTCTCAGCCTATTTATAGAATATAAATAGACATATTCATTTATGTATAAAAGTTATCAAAAATGCAAGTGTACAAAACATTGTTACAGTTTCCAATGCATGAAATAACATTTGGAGATTTATATAGTCCTTCTAATAATGACTGTTTTGTTGCTTTGATTAGGTAGTTTTTTAAATGTTTACTAAAATTAACAAAATGCCCTGCCAAGTTGCCAAAATATTTATATTTGTCAAATAATTAAAGCTCATCAGCCACCAAATTTTCATATCCATACATATTCTTCTATCTTTTCTTGGGACTTTAAACTTAGTATATTACTCATTTTTTGCCTTTTTATTGTTTAGGTAACAGTAAGTTTACATAGATAATTTTTATAATATCAAGCAGTCTTTTCGGTTTTTGTTACAGTAGTACTGTAATGAAAAAAATGGTATCTACTTTTTACTACCAGCAGCATGTTTGAAAAATAGAACTTAACACTATATGATTTTAATATAAAAGCTGTAGTTATAAGCATCTGTCAGGGAAAATTTAAATTACTCTTGAATATTTTTGAAACATTACCTTTAAAACTGTTTTTTTTTATATGTATTTAAACTTTTGTATTAAAATTGCTGTTGTTTACCTTCTATTTTAAAATTATTATAGTATATTAGAAGATAAGAATCCTTTATAAAAATTATAATTTCTGAATATTGAAGTTTTCATTAGATTATTTTTATTTTAACTGAAGGTGAGACAGTTTGCATTAGTCCTCCAAACACTTGAGTTCAATCCTGAGAAGTATGTGAATTTATCAAGAATCCTGAGTAAAATATATTGCAAGATGGGAGATCCAACAGCTATTCTTAACCTGTATCTTTCTGTCATAATTAGAGGTTCATGTACCACAGAAGAAAATGGAACTTTTCTATCTAGAGAGTTTGATCAGAAAGCTGCTTTTGCAGCATCTCCAATTAGAAGTAAGTTATCTGTAAAGTATAACTGAAACATTGTATTTCACTTCTTCTGTAACAGAGAAACATAATGCGAATGTTTGTTATCTTAATCACTGTAACAAACTAATATCTAATATTGTTTTGCATCTTAAATAACAGTGAAAAATAGCAAGTCTGTTGTTTAACATTCTGCCGAACATAAAACCCAGCTGAAAATAAACTTCTACAAGAAAAGGCAAAAACATCCTTAATTGCAAATCTACTGTGTTGTAGCTATATGGTTAGTGAACACCTCAGCCACTCATTACAATGTGCCAAGTTGAAAGAAGCTTTCATTAATTGCCTATTCTTTATTATTTGTTACTGTTATTCTTTTTTAAATTTTAAAGTTCTTAAAAGCACTTATGTGAATGTTTTATCAATGGTTGGCTGATAATATTGTGTGTGTTCAAACTAGTATGTCAGATTCCTTTTCCATATTATTCGTTTTTTTTTGTTTTTTTATTTTTTTTTATTATTATTATTATTAACACAGTGTAACACTGGCTTCTGATGTGCATTTAGAACACACAGTTATATCTTAAGCTATATATGCCCAAAGCATAACAACTTTTTTCTAGTAAAAAAAAAAGAGTGAATTGATGAAGAAAATAATTCTCTCAGGGACAAATTATATAGAGTTCAAATTGGAATATTTATGAAATTCATCTGTTTGATATTTAATCATTGCACTACTAAGTTAGCCAAAATGTTAGAAAAAGCCATATTGAACATTAGTTTTTATAGTTAGTGATTATTACAGTACTCTAGAGTATAATAAAATTTAGGTTATCTTTCCATTATCAGTGGTTCCAAAGATTTGTTGAATTAGGTTTTAATTTAAACTTGTTTATTTCATTCCCTATTATGTATTCCCTCATAGGAAAGTATTCTCCCAATACTCGCTTTAAGAGACTCCAGTTTAATTTTTTCCTTACCAGGTATTTCAATGTAGGAATATATAACCCCCAGAGAAGCTTAATTTGAACTTAATTTATCATTTTTCCTTATGACTATTCCATTTCATAAGTAAAATTTTAAGAACCTTGCTTACTTTTGAGAAGCTTAATTTGATATTTTTTAAGTTCTTGCTCTACCAGGTATTCCCCTTTGTGCAGGTAAACTTGTTTGTCAACCAACAAATAAAATATATTAAGTATTTAATGGCCTGTAATCATTTTTATATCTATTTTCAGAAATGTCTTGATTGTTCTAAGGAAAATTAAATCATACATAAAATGTTTGTATTTTATCAAAAATATTTTATTGAAAACAGAGTAAATTCTGTGGACAGTTCTGATGATAATATTATAAGTTGTATGACCTAACCTATAAATAGTACAATGTATATTTTCTAGTTGTTTACTAATGCTTCAGCTTGCACAAACTTGGTTTAATCTTTGACTGAGCTTTCAATGAAGAAAATTGGATTATAAAAAACATACATCATTTTCTGATTTCTTTTAAACTGTTCAGATGTCATCAATACCTTTGGTTTGGAGAGCATCTTAATTTATACAGCATTAATACTGAAGAAACGTATCATTGTCTATCATCATGAGCTAGATGCATTACTTTCTTTTATGAGGTAAATATTGGCTTTTAAAATTTTTAGCATAATCTTCTACTTCATCTGATTTATTTTCTTCATTGTGTACATTTAATGCTCTATTTATATTTAATATAATAATTTATTTTTATACACTATGGCCTCATACTATTGACCGTGTTATTATTTGTACTCACCTCAAGTGTTCCTGTCAATATTTTTACAGCCTTGTTTTATATACAGTTATATATGTGTGTTGGAAATACACTGTATTTCATAATACTTAAAAGATAATTGTTTTCATGTACTGTATAATTTTAAAACATTTATTGTACATATATCACATAATTAGCCTAAACATTGTAAAAGGTGACAGTGTGAATATTTTTGAGAATGACTTATATCTTCAAGATTTATGCGTACTACTTCATCTCACATTATTAACAATGTTTCATATGTTTGAAAATAATACCTAATTTTACTATATTGATGTATGTACTCTTAGTAAGTCCTTTCTATAATGTTTTGAATATGTTATTATTCAAAACAATTACATAGAATTTGTTAACTAAGTGCACAGAAATTATTTATGAGAAAATTTAGTAACTTTCGTGTAAGAGGGTTTCACTAAGAGATACAACTTCTGTTTGAATTTTCTAAACATAATCAATTATTTTACAACAAAGATTATTTTCTTGTAAATCGAGGTGCAAGAGTTACCATTCTTTTTTCTTCTTCTTGGCAATCTGTTTAAACTGCTAAGTATCATTGTTTGATTTCCTCGACAACTGCAGAGCCTTACCAGCTTTAGTGTGGCATAGGCAAAACTGGAACATTCTCTATCCCTACATGGAACTGAGTGAGAGTGAATGTGCTGAACTAATCAGTCTAAAGACTTACGCTGCAGGGTTCACAGATGCTAGTGTGGAAACACGTACAGATTTGTATGATGTTTTTGTCAATCTTGCTGCTACTGAAATCACAGTTGCTTCACATGCAAAAGGTACAAAATTCAGTTTTATTTATTTTGTTGTTTTTATGAGGATCGTATGACACAAACAGTTATAGACCTCTTTACTATGTTATTTTAATTATTATTCTTTGAGTGTGAATTTTATCAGAATGTTGTTTATATTTAGGATGTTACCAGAATTAAACTTATATTTTACCAAATATTGAAAGAGACATTAAATACTACACTTTGAACTTTGTTTTCATAATGACTGATATTTATTCAACAATAGATATTTGAATGTTGATATTTTAATATATTTTGAATGATAGTTTTTTTCCAAATTCAAGCAAACTTTTGTTCCCATTTTCTTACATAGGTGTTTTTGGGTAATTTCTTGATATGAATGAAACATCCATTAAAAATAAAAATGGAAAATCTCTAGTCACTAAAAAAAATCATTTTAAAGGACAGTTTAAAATGTATAATTGCTCCAAATACACAAGGTGTCATCCTTAGAAGAACTATTAACTGGAAGAAGAACATCATAAGTACAAAATACCACAATTAGAAGCACTCCAAACAATCAATATAGTCATAGGACCACAATTTTTTGAAAGAAGTACTCTGTGAGATACAGTAAAAAAAGCAATAATGTACTGTATTGATTGCTTAACTCTGAATTTTGTATTTTTTATATGAGCTTTGTGTAATTATGAGTTTAAATTTTAATTATATCTCATCTTTCAGAGGCTTTTGGAATGAGCAAAACTCATAAAGATATTGCTATGTTTATGGTAAGACAAGCAGAAAATACAGAACTTTCAAACCAAGACATTATTCGAGTAAGTATTCAGTCAAATTTTACAGTTTTCTTTTGGTAATCTTGAAATTCTCATCATTCTTCATAATTATCAGTTTTAAAAGAATATGTACTATAGTTAATAATTTGATAAAAAAAAATATATCACTATAAATTCATTTTTTGTTGTTTGTTTCATATAAGGAGGGGAATAATTGTTTTTAAAATTAGAGTTACATTAAATTTTATAGTTTGCATTGACACTTTCAGTTGAGTAGGGGTAATGTTACTTCTTTTTTGTTTGTTTGTTTTTGTTTTGTTTTTTTCTATTATTTTTACTCAAAACCTGACAAATGGGTTTGATAGACATGTTTCACAAGTATAACAATTTTATAATTTTCAAATATGATACAAAGTTCAATACAGTTTAAAAATTGTAGATTAACAAATACTTAAAACTCATTAGTTTTTATTTGGCTGAAATGATTAAACTTCATTCTTTAAACTGACTGCCAACCTGTGTTAACTGATTGTGCATTGGACCAACCCCTTACTGGAGAAAGAATGTTAACTATAATTTCAAACATACTTCATGTATCTACTTGAAATGTGGTAGGTTTTTAGTCAAATGTATAAATGTGTTGTACACAAAATCAGGTGTGTTACAAATGTATTTGTTCTCAAGATATGTCTGAATTGCTTACATCAGTTTGACAAGTTGAAGTGCAAGGTGATTTTCATATGAAAAATAAAAATACTTCAATCCATCATATAATTTGCATAACCTATAGAACCTCTTAAATCCATATCTACAGATTTTTTCAGCATCTCTATATGTTGTATCTGGTAAAAACTTTCCTCTACCATGAATTGTCACTAAATCAGCAGTATAGGGTAACAGGAATAGTTGATAACTCTAACAAGTAAAAATACTTCAATCCATCATATAATTTGCATAACCTATAGAACCTCTTAAATCCATATCTACAGATTTTTTCAGCATCTCTATATGTTGTATCTGGTAAAAACTTTCCTCTACCATGAATTGTCACTAAATCAGCAGTGTAGGGTAACAGGAATAGTTGATAACTCTAACATCAAATACTTAATACTATGTTGTACTACACTTTGTATTAAGGTCATAGCATACACACCACACACTTTGACCCTGCGCATAAGGTTAAAAGGATTAAGGATTATGTACTTTCATGTAAATCTTAACTGATATGAAAAGTACATGCTTAGGTCATGTTTCATTTAAAATGAGTAAAAATGGTATTCATAAGCAGTATAAGCCATCATCCTGTAAGAAAACTGATAGCAGTGTGTTCATATGTAATCTTTCAAAATCATTATGTTAATCGATTATAAACTAAAAAAATTAATTGTTTTAGAATTTTTTAACAAATCTTACTAGTGATGCTCAGTTACGTGACTACGTGTAGGATTATAAAGACTGTTGTCAGTTTGTTTTACTTAAACATTTGTTTTACTGTAAACTTTCTAGTGCAGTGATATATATAAGTTATACTAACTTGTTAAGAAGCACGTTAAATTAGACCAAAGATTAAAGGTACCTGAAAATAATTAAAGTTGCAATCTTCAAACTATACAGAAACAACATATAAGGTTTTAAATCTTTTTTTGAAGAATTTCACCAGCTTTCTTTATCAATTCATACAAATAATTTATTCTTTTCTTGCCCCCTTTTTTATTGTTTAAATTTCAGTTATAGTGATGCTTTGTATTTTGAGCAGGAAATTTCTTCCAAGACAATGGAACTCCTAAACAATCTCAAGTCATTATCTTCAGAAGAGGAAGATGGTCATCCGGTGGTGACCTTAGAAAGTCTAAAGGAACACAAACTTGCTGCTTCTCTAGAAAACTTTCTGTGGAACCTGGCAGTAGCAGAGGGCTTTGTAAAAGTTTGATACTGTGTTCTGTAGTAACTGAAAGGTTTGTTGCAATTTAATGTTTTGTGTAGTTATGTGACAAAATAGTATAAAATTTGTTATTATTTGGCCTGTAGCAAGAGATTTTGCTAAAAATCCATTGTTTGACTTGTTCTAGATAATTTAATGAAGTTGTTACATTCTCAATAATAGTAAATTTGATATGGAAGTGTTCTTTCATGACCAAGGAGTTTGGTTAAGGTGTGTGTGTGTGTGTGTGTGATGATATAAAGATAAAAATACATTGTTATGTGACAAATAAAAGCTTTTACAATAGCTTTTAATAAAAAGTTTGGTATAGTTGTGTCAATGCATGACTAATAGTAGAACATGTGGTAAAGATGTGTTGTCATTTGAACAGTTACATTGTCAGTATCATAAACTTTGCAAGACATAATCAAAGGGCTGGAAGTAAATACATTTAACAGAGACATGTTCCGGTGAAAGATGCTAACAGTTTTATGAAGATCAGTTATATAATCAGTAGATGAAAACTGAAAAAAGCTGGTAGTATTGGATTAGCTGCAGAAATCTTAAAAAAATTCTTATAATGGGTACCTTAACTAAATGACTTTACAAAAATACTCAGATTCTATTGAAAAGTATTAAAAAAGCTATAAATAACTTAATTTTATTGTACAGTACTATCAGTTTATTTGAATACTTGGCTTTATATTTAGCAATAGAATTAATTTTTTTTTAAATATATAATTTAATTTGGCATGTGTGTGTATATACGTATAACAAATGATAATGGGGGTGTTTAAAGTTGATTAGTGATGCTGAAAGAAGTCTCTTGTAATCTCAAGTAATTAGAAATATTACTTGTGTTTGAGTTGTAAAAATAGATTAATGCGTAAGAGAGATTATGTTGCAGTATAGCAGAGGAATTAATATACAATATTGAAGTGTAACGAAAGGTTTGTAAAATATGTGAACTGCTCTTACATAAAATCTTATTGGATACTTTGTAAAATTCCTCGATTACATAAAATATAGCAGTCTGCTTTTCGGGATATACATGAATTAATGAAAAGATGAATAAATATCAACAGAATATGAATGTGTCACATGGAATAAGACGTTATTAAAAAAGATACAAAACAAACCATGCTTGGAACATTAAGCTGCTGATTACAAACATGTTTTAGTTTTTCATCTTTCCAAGAAGTATATGTATATAAATTCTTAAAAGAACAATTTAAACTTTAAAAATACATAAATGGCATTCATTGGGAAAGCTACAATGAAAAACAAGTATTTATATTTACCTAAAATTTTTGGTGTCATATTTATCAAAAAATTATGAAGCTAGCCTATTCTTGATTTTTTTGAAGAAAACAAGATGTTTTGTAAACGTTTTTATAAATTTTCTTTTTGAATTATTTTTAACATTGTTTGATATTAACTGAAAATATTTATTATCGATTGTTTTGTTTCTAGAAAAATGTTGTAAATTTGCTTCCTTAATATAAGTAATACTAGTTTTTCTTGACCCTTTGTTTTACCAAGTCACTTTTTTTATATAATATTCAAATTTTTATAATGCTTTTTGATGTTTAGGTTGTGTATTTCTAAAATTATAGTATTGCTTTTGTACCCAATTTTTGTAGTAAAACTAAATAGTTCTGTGAAACTAATAAAATATTTTTCAATAGTAAGCTATACATTTAAATTAAAACGTTTTCTGTATTGTTTCTAATACACATGTATTTTCAAAATCTGAAAATTATTTGATAAGTTGTTTAGGCAGAAACTGGGATAAACCAACCAATCATAACACGCCCTCCACACTCCAACAGAATACTCCAAGTACCGACAACACCATACAGATGCTGACCTGAGGACCAAAGACGGAAGACTTTCGAAACTTCGTCCTTTATACTTGTGTTTCTATAACAAGCAGTTGCTGTCCATTCAACTAAATTTCACCAAAATGTAACAAGTCTTGATTAGATAAAAAAAGCCAAACAATACAACAAGCGTTTTGTTACTTCAAACGGGAATTACTTTCAGATTTTTTTACATTTATATAAAACAAATTTTCTTTGATTGATGCCATAATTATTATATATGTGTAAGTAATATCATTATTCCTTTATCATCTTAATGGGTACACTAAAAAAATAAAAACCCCATCTGGCGTAGAACAGTACTAATACTAACTTATTATCACTCGTTACTTATGGTTTTATTATTTAATCTAAATTCTTATGTTGTAAAAGCGTGAAGTATCTAATAATTTTTTTATAGATAAGTTAATAAGTCGTCTCAGTTCTTATAATTTCTCACTGAAAAGTAATGGAAGTACCTTTTTTTATATTCAATAGTCAATTAGCAAATGTTTTTAATAACTTTTACTCCAACAAAAATACTGAGTGATAACAATCAAATGAATTGGTGGGTAATCATAATTCTCTATTCCACGTCTACAAACTATCATATTTATATAACATTTACGCATATTGTTCATGTGTTTAATTAGGTTTGCAAATGTGTTCATATTTGTCTTGTCGTTCTTGTATACAAAAGTATGTAGTACGTGAATCGGATACCAAAAGTATGTAGTACGTAAATCGGATACATGTGCTTTCTATTATCATGGTATCTTTGAATTGTTCTGTAAAAATTAAATCTGAAACAGTATGTTGTTTACAAGTTTCTTTTAATATGTCTCTGGACTTACAACGCTAGAAACCGGGGTTCCATACCCGTGGTGAGCAGAACACAGATAGCCCATTGTGTAGTTTTGGGCTTAATTACAACCAACCAACTTTTAATACATGTTAGGTAGAACCTAGTGGTTAGCATGCCCATACCCTGCATCCAAAGGTTCGAGATTTGCCTCCAGTTGCCGCAAAAATTCGCTTCGCACTTCAGGACAATAGGTGCGATATAAGATTGAAGGTCAAATCCCACTATTTGTCCAAACAAGAGTTCCACAAGAGCTGAAGGTGGGTGTTGTTGACCATCCGCCTTTCCTCTGATCTATTGGCTTAAAGTTAGGGGCGGCTACGCACAGATAACCATTGTAGCTTTGCACAAATATTCATAACAAGCAAATTATTACGTATTTCATGACATAAAACCTTCCTCTTTTTTTTGTAGTGTCTAGTGTCATTAGCTTCAAATTTCCAGTTACCAAGATTATCTTTTATTTCATTTCGATCCCAAAGTAGTAAAAACAACTAACTACCAGTAACTGACTCGTTGAAATATCACACAGAATTTTTTATAGTGTTTCATTGAGATTGTAACTAAAATTTTGCTAATTGTATTTGTGGTTATTTTTTGTTACCTTCTTACGTTTCTCAGCCGCATTATGATGTCAGCTGTTCGCAGTTGTCATTCAAAAGCGTCCGATCTATATAAGTTAAGCAAAAAGGTACACGTGTACGAAACATACGAACGTTAGCTTTATTAGATAAGTTGATGTTGTTTTTTGTCAAGAGAAAAGAACCTGGCCCGGCATGGCCAGGTTGTTACGGCGCTCGACTCGCAATCTGCGGGTCGCGGGTTCGAATCCTCGTCCCACCAAACATGCTCGCCCTTTCAGCCGTGGGGGCGTTATAATGTTACGGTCAATCCCACTATTCGTTGCTGAAAGAGTTAACGGTGGGTAGTGATGACTAGCTGCCTTCCCTCTAGTCTTACACTGCTAAATTAGGGACGGCTGTCACAGATAGCCCTCGTGTAGCTTTGCGCGAAATTCAAACAAACAAATAAAAGAACCGGTAAACCCCCGGAAACATCTCAATACACATACCAGGAAACAAACCTCACCCCAACTCATTTGTCATAAAAGATATACACACCAGCATTACAAACCAAGACATAGAAACAGAACTCACACACAAAAATATACTAGTCACGAAAGTTGAACGTATTTTCTCTAACAAAACACAAAAACTCACAAACCTAATCACATACAAGAAACACAAGATATACAGAGTGTAATATCTAATGGTATTATTTTCTGGTATCGAAGATACACAGTAGAACCCACTAAAATACCAGCGGTAGTAGTAACCCAGTGTTATAACTGCCAACGCTATGGACATGTGGCAGCCGCATGTAAAGCTCTCCCACGCTGCGTAGGGTGTGGGGGAGATCACAGAAACAATGAATGTCCACGAAATAACCCACAGCCATACTGCTGTAACTGCCAACAGCAACACACGGCAAACTACAAAGGATGCCTAAAATACAAAAATATCAAAGCACGAATAATTAATATTCAAAACAACATAAGCACAAAATCATGGAGCAAACAGTACACAAAGAAAAACACCATTGCTAGCAACACCACAACCTCAACAGAATACTAACACAAACAAACAATCTACCGCACAAACATTTGCACAGGCAGTAAATACTCACACCCAAACTGAAGAGACCACAAAACAAAAGAAAAACACTAAACCCATAAATGCTGAATCAGAGGAATTAACAAACAAAATTACAGTGGCAGTCACAAACATATTTTACAAATTTCTGGAAAAATATACTAACCCCCAAAACCAAGAGGATTGCATCACACTAATCATGGAAATATCGCTGGAACACTACTACCAATATTACCACAGATAGCACAATTACTCTCACTACCACAAACATCACAGAACTCAAATACCAAGCAAACATAAGGCTACACACATAAACAACTTGAAAACATAAAACGGACATGACCCTGAAAAGAAAAGTGGTAATAGAATTTAACAAATCAAACCAGCCAACCCAAACCCAAGAAAATAGCAAAATAATAACAGTGCAGTAGTGAGGAATAGGTCTACTAGAACCTGGCCCTCCCAGGTCGTAAAAGCCCTAAATCCCGATCCGGAGAGAGAGAGAGAGGTAAACCCCCACCCTCGCTCCCTCTATTCTATATTGTTGTATCCATAGCGTAGGTTTTACAGATGACTGAAGACTGGAAATTATAACACATTGTAATCAGTCCATTGATTCGGTCAAGATTACGTCATAAAACTTCATCAAGTTAAATATTTATTACTTAGAGCAAGTAAATTTGTGAAACAGTGTTTTTTAACAAATTGCCAACACCTAATTCAGACCTGTTTGCGTACAACTTAAGATTAGCGTTTCATCAACCAGTCTTCAAACAAGTAAAGAGAGAGACTTGTATCATTAGGTACCCCACTCAGCTGGTAAAATATCTGATTATTAAATCGTACAATTAGTACAATAACGTAAAATATACGTGTAAATATACACTTGTATAGAGCAAACTTTCTTTCGTACTTTTTGTAAAAGATTTCAGTAAGTTGTAATCAGTCATCAAGTAGTAACTGTGTAGAAGTAAAATTACTACATGATTTACAACGATAATATTTTAATTATGGAGCCCCTTAGTTAATATGGCGTTAAATAACCAATACAGTTATATGTAAATATTAATTAGATTGGTTTATTTTGTTTCAGTAAAACTTCCTAGTAAAAGCACCAAAAACTACTTAAACATTTTTTTTTTTTAAACAAGCAATTTTCACTTCATTATGATATTACACACCACAGGGTTTACTGTGATAGAACACACGACTTTCTGTATCATTAATTTACAGTCATATATTAGTTGCTGTGGGATAACATTCACTATTTGTTCCATTATTCAGAACCGGTTAATAGTCTACATTTTATTTTTTACATAAGACTAAGTAAATAATTAACGTAGTTCCACCGGTATATTCCTGTGTTAATTGTAGAATCCGTACAACCTACTACGATGCACAACGCTTGTCAATACTTTATCATTGGTGTGTTATTAAAACCAGGACAGGTCAACTTTCAACAAAAGTGTAGTTGTAACTCCATTCTTACACAAGGTGTCTCTCAGAGAGCAATAATTTTGCAGGGGTGTCGTTTCCTGACCTTACCAGACCCAGAATAATTTCAGACATTTCTCCGATGTTCGTGTATATGATTTCTCTTCACCGGCCTATCAGTATCAGATAATTGATAGTAAACATTGTTAACCTATAGATGTTTCTAAGACTAAAAGTAATAAAAGGTTAATTGGTTAAACAATGGTTGATATTAAGTAGAACAGGCATAAAATTATGCTTCCATATAATGGTGGTTTAAATATGCTGTATTTATGTGGAAACTGTTGAAGCAATAAGGTATAATGTTCATGGACATATATTATTATTTTAACCCAGAAATGTACACTATCTTATGGTTACTGACGGATGAAAGTGAATAACATTAACTTTAAGGAACACATGAATAATAATAAAAATAATCCTTGAAGGGATGCAACAATGAGAAGTGTTAATAACACATCCTATTTTTATTCCACTTTTACCACCCGTACTAAGTCTAACCCATTGCAATGCTTCGTAAATTAGAGACTGATTTCAAGTAAACTGGAAGCAAACAGATCACAGAATACGAAAATGATACTGTTTATGCAAAGGCAAATTCCGCGCCTATTGTTCTGTGATCGTACAATCACGAAAACCCTGGAGAATGATATTAACACACACACACACTTTCAATTGTTCAATCTCGTAGAATTTATGTAACATTGCTTTTGTGTATTATATTGTGTTACAGTTTTTTACTGTATTTGTTTCATGCTTAACACTATATCATATACTTACGCTGTTCCGTAATTAATTATAAATGTTATTTTCCAGTACTCGAGTTTATTTTATTTCATCCATTCTCTTCCTTGTCCTCTGTCCCTTTTGCTTACTTTTTCTTTCTTTTTTAATTTCGTCAAATTTTACAATTCGATATAACAGAGTTAAAAAGTGATGACATAACGTTTACATGACGCGCGCTGGTTCTAAAAAAAAAAAGTGGTTGAAATCGTTATTGTTTTGGGCAGGAATGAAGACGTGGTGCAATGTGTTGCTGCGAAATGCAACCATCAAAGTGAAAGAAAGAGTTGTCATTTTTTTAGATTTCCCATAGGACCATCAAAGAAGAGATTAGAAGAATTATGCAGGTAAATTACACAGAATAAATGTGTTTTTTTTTTTAAAGCCAGGCACTGTCTATTTCACAATACTCGTAGAACGTACCTGCCTACTCGCTTCTGACCTGTTCATAGCTTACATATTTTGATGATCCGATACTTCTGATTAAGGAAATGGACATAAACATATATCTATCATTCTTCAAATGTGTAATAATAATGCAATTGCAGAAGGGCCGATAGAACAGCCAACGACTGTGCAGCTGTCACTTCAGAGAACATTTAAAAGAAAATGGTCCAACCATCTTCGAATGGAACATAAACAAATCTTTTGACCAATTCCCAGAATTCGAAGTATTATGGAAGAGGTACATTATTTTTGAACTTATATAACTTTTTGTGAAATGTAAGCAGATACGAGAATTTTTATTTACTACTCTTATCTTTTAATATATTCATCTATTTTTTATTTCAGAAGGACATTCTCACAGATTCCACATGTTAGTGCTCAAGAAACCAGCGCCAAATCTCTTCGTGAAATAGACATATGAATTTCCGATTTCATTATCAAAATCAACAGTACTGTTTTGGATCACGAAATCAGAGAACTTAAAGGGAAAATACTGGAACAGGAGAGGGAGCTTACGTATATGAGGAGCCACTCTTTATATAATTTCAATAAAAAAAGACGATTCACTTGTAAACC